TTACTCGGAGAAGCTAATATATTTAGATCATTGACTTCTAAATTACAATATAAGTATATATAAATATTGACAAACCTAATACAAAAAAGACCACTTTATTTTTCAAAATTTACCTCTAAAATCCAAAAGCCTAGATTTGCATTCTAAATTAATAAAATAGATATCTTAATTAATAACCAGAATTATTATTCTTGAACTAATAGTATAAAATACTTTTTAGGATTTCTTCGAGACTAGAACTAGTTTTTTCTTCAATTGATGTTATATTGCATAAAAATTCCACTCCTAATATATTTAATTTATGCAAGTATTAATTAATAATTATCATTATTTATAACAAATATTGATTGTTTACATCACCAACAAAATTTTTGATCTCTTTTAAAAGGTCATTCCTAGAGTTAATACCTGGATCCGGATTTAATTATTGATACCCGGATTTAGTCATTAGATCCGGATTTAATTGTTAGATCCGGATTTAATTGTTAGATCAGGATTTAATTGTTAGATCCGGATTTAATTGTTAGATCCGGATTTAATTATTAGATCCTGATTTTACTATCGTTCTAAAATACGTAAGACTTACATTTATCTTTCGAGTAATACTAATCACTCGTGTATTTAGAAGTTCACTGTTTTTTTATTACATTTACCATGTTTGTTATGATAAAATACTATATTATTTGGTCATTTTTCTAATAAAGAATATTCTGACCGTGTTAAGACTTCTAGACCCAAAAATTATGGTTGGTCGAACGATCAGGTTTAAGTGTGATAGTTTATTTTTACAATCTTATTCATGTTACTTATAGAAATTTTTCATAAGAATCTTTTCAAACATGGTGATTTTATGTAGTATATATTTTTTTTTTTCAGGACGTTCTAATACACCTTGTTAAATTTTGTATTTAGAATTTGTCACTTACACCGTTTCACAGGCAAATTTCATGAAATTATATCAGATTATAGTGATAGATTGAAGTAAATTGACAGTGTAAGGGATAAGATCCGTCCTGACACTATCCTTCAAATACGGCAATTATAAATGGGATTTTTTTGCAATAGAAAAATTGGTGAATTTATTATGTACTGATTGAAATTTATATTGATCTCGTAAAATAATTTGGCTTAATAAATGAATAGCATTTCTATTTTCATAGTTCATTGAGATTCTGTGCATTAAAAACCTATATATAGAATTGGCTTTTTAAGTACCCTCGCTTTATTTAAAAATCCTAGCTGCTTGAATAATACCCAAGGGATACCATTAGAGGTTCAATGATAAGACTTACAACAAAAATATATTCGCAAGTGAATAGTATCCCTGGACTTATCCAAAAATCTCAGCTGATCTAAATAAAAATAATATCTAACGGATGCCAATAGGAAAGGCAATAGATCAAATCGATTTAATAATATAATAACCTATAGAGGTTTTTCAAAAAATATTACATTCACAGATGAATAGTACCCTGATTATCTTAAATAGTATCCGAGGAATAGAGGTGTAAATCGGCCCATTCAGCACTAACATTAATCAATTATTGTATAGATACAATTTGAATGAGCTGATTTACATATCTATCGAGTGATAGGTGTGGAAATACGTTTAATGGATTCGACAAAAAAGAATATACAGTATTACAAGTGAATAGTATCTTACACTACGTGAGACACCTTACAGAGGATTAAAATCAGCGCTATAGATAATTTTGATTACAGTCAGATCTCCGTAAATGCATAGTTTATGAAAGACCTCTCTAAATGCAAGATTTGTTGACTGCCCCTTGGCTATGCATTTAGAGAGGTTTGACTGTAATTCGAAAACATATTATTAAAGTTAATGTATCAAATTGTCAAACAATTGGCTTTAAAATGATATATTTTTTTTTCATTTTAGTCATATAATAAAAGATAATTTTTTATAATTAACATTTCAATATCAAAGTCCTTCAAAAGTTTCGCTTAAAAGATCTATTTTAAATTCAAGGTCTTATTTAAAAAAAATGTCTAATACTAACCCTATCAGAAAAAAAAGAAAAGTCACCAAAACAAAAGCCTATTCAACCTCGTCCATTGCTTCTAGTAACATATCAAACCCAAGAGCAAATGCTAGTTTTGCTCGTTTTTTTTATCAGGATGACGAAATTGATAGCACAGTTACATATTGTAAACTTTGCAGTCTGGAATTAGATGAACTGGACGGAATTCAAGCACAACCGTATCCCTATAGCAAATCAGGAAGTAGCACAGGAAACTTAATAAAACATTTACGTGAAAAACATAAAATAAATTCAAAGAATTATAAAAGATACCTCGATGATAACGAACAAGTAAAATAATGTTTTATTATAAAAACTCATCAAATGTTGAATTAATATATATATTATTAATTTTTTTTTTTTTTTTACAGCCAATAATAAACAGATCAGTTGAATCAACGGATCTTGACTTACCTTCTTTGTCACCTGAGCAACAACGTGAATTAACGAAACTTGTAATAGAGTTCATCATATATGATGTTCAACCATTAAATATATTGAAAAATCCATCTTTCCGTAAACTTCTATACGGTTTTAAACCTCAATATCAAATACCATGTGCAAAAACCGTTAAAAAATATATTTGTGAAGCTTATACGTGGGGAACAAAACAACTTAAAGAATCGTTATTAAACGTTAATACTGTTAATTTAACAACAGATTTATAGACTGCTAAGAGTAATCATGGTTATCTCGGAATTACTGTAACATGGCTAACCTCTGATTTCCAACTTCAGAAAGCATTGCTCTCAAATCACCATATGCCGCATCCACACACAGGCCAAAATATTAGTGAGGAGTTATTTAATATTATAAATAAGTGGGGATTAGTAAATAAAGTGCACACTATTGTAACAGATAACGGTGCAAACATGATTAAAGGTGTTAGTTTATTAAAAGAAAATTACTTATCTAATGTCAATTGGCAATCGTACATTGCCCACACCCTTCAGCTTTCAGTAAAAGAAGGTCTAAAACAAGTTAAACCAATTCATAAGCGACTTCGAAGCATTCAATCATTTTTTAGACTCCCAAAACAAGCACAACAATTGAGAGATGTACAAATGCAAATGCAAACGGACCTGTCTGATATAATTCAAAGTGATACTGAAGATGAATTAGTGAATCCACTTGAAGTTCTAACAGATTGTAAAACCCGTTGGAATTCAACTTACTTAGCATGGAAAAGAATTTTGATTTTGCATCCAGCAATGCTTATGCTTGTGACTTCACTACGAAATAAGACAGATGCCATATCCAGACGAGAAGGTGAAAAACTTCTGAAACTATGCTTAACTGCGGAAGAACAAGAGTATATATTAAATTTTAATTACTTCTTCTATAAGTGCACTTCACATATATTTTCCCCCTACAAGTACTTCCGCCATAATTATATTGTACATAGAGTACTTATCATCATGAGTTATAGTTAAAACACCTCATAAGTGCATATTCTTCTGACAAGTGCGCTTATGGAGAGTTGACTATAACAACTGTTTATAATTACAGCAGAGACCAATAATGTTACCCATATATTAAAACGGGAAGAGATTATATCTATCACAATTGAATCCAACATAAATAATTTAATATGTGATTAATCACAGGCGAGAGAGATTCAATTTTGATTGGGCAAAACATTTTCTATTTCAAAATTTTGCCCAAGAAACTACATTCCTCTACGAAATCATCTTATCACAGGCTGAATCTAAGCCAATATCGACAAAACCTGACACAGATTTCTTATTTGCATAGTTTGCACAATTCTAACTGAAATGATGATATGTATTAGGGTGGATCAACACGAACGATAGTTTACTTTATATTTCGAAAATAAGCATCTACTTAAGCAATTTTTATAGCCAAATTCTCATGATCTAATGGTCAGGTCCGCATAATTTTGGTACTATTCGAATTAATTTTATAAGTTGATTTAATGGTACCAAAATTCAGATTTAATCATTAGATCACAAGAATTTTGGCTATAAAAATTGCTTCAAGAGGATGCTTATTTTCGGAAGTATTTTTTTTTTCAACAGTTATTCAAGTGTTCTATTAAATTTTTTTTTTCTAAAAAAATAAGGTTTGTAAAACAAATGGTTAATATTCTAAAACCATTTGAAGAGATTACAAGACACATTTGTGGATCGAAGTATCCTATTTTGAATCTTGTACATCCTTATATTAGAACTCTAAAAAATAAATTTGCTCCAAAAACTGAAAATGGCGAATTATTTGAAGCTTGGATCAATCTCATTTATGGCTCAGAAGATCTAGATACTAACAATGATTCAAGTTTTAGCAGTGATAATGAAGCTGACATACCATCAGCAGGAAATCGGCGACAATGGCAATATGCACATCGAAGTGCATATCGTCGTAAAAATCATGTTAATCATAGAAAAAAAAAGAAGACCCTTACAGAGTTGGATGATTCTAATACTGTAGAATATTTGTCACCTGTAAATTGTTCTGGGCTTTTAGAAAAAGCCCAAGCCGCTATTTTTTTGTCCCTTGATGAATTGTGGAGCGCATCTAATGAAATGGGATTGAAAGCTTCTATTTTAGATCCACGAGCACTAAAGTTGCTTCCATTTGCCACAATTCAAGAGCGAGAAAAAACTGAAGCTCAAATTCGTACAGAATTATTATTACTTGAGGCCCAACTAAATAACTCAAGTAATAATGAAGAAATAGAAAAAAGTTCTGTAATACTAAATGAAGATCCTCAGGATTCTTTGAGTGCTGAACTATGGGGATCATGCTTAATACCTGACAATATTTTTACTGAAGATGAGTTTACACGATACATGAAGGAACAAATAGCACATAAAAATCAAAATCCTTTGATTTGGTGGGAGGATAGACGTACAAGCTATCCTTTTCTTGGCCAACTGGCCCGTAAATATTTGTCTATCCCCGCTACATCGGTTCCATCAGAACGCTTGTTTTCAGATGCAAACATCCATATTTCAGCTAGAAGAACTCGCCTTGACCCCCATTTAGTAGATAAGATGTTATTTTTAAAGAGAAATGCTGACCATCACTCTATGTTTCCATCTGACAATAATTAATTGCATCTTTTTTTTTTGATATACTAATCGTATATATTCGTGAACCTATTATAAATTATTAAAATTTTATTCAATATATAATTTCATAATATTTTATTATCATGTACATTACGAACTTGTAACATTTTGGTTTAAACGAAAGACTATTAAAATTATAAACTCAAACAAGTGAGAGCCTATGCAATAAAGATTAGACATTAATGGCTTTCATCATGCTAGTTCAATGAAATATCCTTGACTTACTATTATATTCATCGTTTTAGAAAGTGTACCTGTACAATATTAGATAGCCATAATCTGAATGCAACCATTATAAAGTTAAATCTCAGAAACATAAAATAGAAAAAAACTATGCACCAATCGCCGTTCCTTGACCTATCCAGTTTTCACGAGCCTTGTTGCAAACTAACTATGACGGAAACAATTTGTATAAGCTTTATTTAGTTTTTTAACAGCCAACGGGAGATTTAAGTGTTGGAAGTGCTGCTTCACGTTAAGAAATGCCAGATCGTGATCACCGTCTTTGCTGTAAAAGTATGTTATGCACTAGCCAATTATTAAATCCGGATCTAATAATTAAATCCGGATCTAACAATTAAATCCGGATCTAATAATTAAATTCGGATCTAATAATTAAATCCGGATCTAATAATTAAATCCGGATCTAATGACTAAATCCGGATATCAATAATTAAATCCGGATCCAGGTATTAACTCTAGTCATTCCTATTTTTCTGCTTATTTTTATCCCATTCGTCCCATTTGTTTGCAATAATCATAATAGGAATCCTATTAGTTACATAGTTACTATCGATGTTGGTATATTCACGTGAAAGTTCTTCTATTTTCCTTAATCCATCGGCTTGAGAAATATCGTAAACAAGTATAGCACCATCAATATAACTATAATAACTATAAATACAAGATAAATAAAATTTGCTGTTATATAAAAAAAGTACATGCGTTAGAAATGTAGTAACTCACTTTTTATTTGGTCTCAAGTTACATCCTACAAAATGAGAATGAACAAAATTAACAAATAAATAATTATTAACGTTAGATTTTGTACCCATACTATTAAGATCTTTTGTTCAGTCTCAATAGTGGACGACGTTAGTCGTATTTTATTAATGAATTTTGTATTAGTTGGCATTTCAAATATAATTAATACCTGTTTCTAAAAATTCTACTTTAATAGTGCAATTCTCCAAATTAATGTGCGTGTTCGTTACGTATACATGCAAATTTTCTTCGTATACTCCATTTTTAAAATCATTTTCGGCAAATTTTTCAATAAGACGTGATTTACCAACATTTGGTTCACCATCCACACCAACTAAAAATAAACCGTTTTAATATAATTAACATAATTCAGATATGAGTTGTAAATTGTGCAAATTTATCATACTCCTTAAAAAAAGATCATAATTTTTATTCATCCTTGGAGAATAGTCAGTATAAAGCTTTGCGTCTACAGTCGTCATTATTTATCTATTTATGCTCTAGTGTAAATGCAGTGTTTAACATCGATACATTGTCCGACGTTGTTCAAGCTATGTAATCATAATTTTACATTTGATTAAATAACTTAATCATAGTTATCACATAACCGAAGATTTCATTCATGAACGTGCATGTGCATGCATAAAATTATATATGACGCGATAAGAAACAGTGGTGGAATATGGCCTATTGATCAATTATAGGGTATGAGCTTATGACCTGTTATGACTTATAAAATTACTAATACACCTTGATCATATAAAGTTTGATATAACTAAAATGGCCAACACTGATAAGCAACGGTGCCAGATTGGGTACGTATCATTTCACAAACAATCATGGAATGGAGTTGAAAAGGTCAAACATTTGCGGGCGCTATTGTTAAAAGTTGTTATTGTATATTGTCAAAAATAGGCAGACCACATAAGGCATCATTTATAATTAGAAATTTTGGGTAATGCCGATTGTTAAAAATTGTTGAATGAAATTGAAGTTGAAAAGGATGAACATATGACGTTCATTTCTTGTCAAAAAAATCTGCAGAGATGGGCAGCGTTGATTGTTGAAAGTGTTAACTGGAATGAACATAAAGCATTTATTATCATAACATGCAGAAATGAGTGAAGCAAATAAAATGTTTCGGCTAGCAACTGTTATGAAATGAAATTGAGTTGAAAGAATATAATGAAACGAAACATCATTATTATTGCCGAAACCTGAACAACGTTATTGTTTCTTTGCTTAGTTTTTTTCTATACATGTATAAAGGAAGAATAAAAATGGCACGTAGGTATTAGTGTTGGTGCACATGTTTGACAAAAATTTGGGTTTATCATGTTACACAGCTTGCAGATCATATCTGTGTAATTTTAGAAATTGATTTCGAAATTTCGAAGATTTTTTTAAACCCCCACTTATTTTCGAAATAAGGTAATTTTAAATATTAATTCTAATAATTTAGAAAAAGGTTTGTCATACTGCATTACGCCCATGAGCATTATTTCGAATTGTACCACTTTCGTGACACTCATAGTGATGCAGTGAAATTATTTCCACAAATGTGGAATTATTGCACGAGTATATAAAATTACAGAAAACATTTAACCATTTTTCATCAGAAAATTATAATGGCCGAAATCGAATATAAAAATTTGAGAGAAACGTACAAAGATATATTAAAGCGTTTTCCGTTTAAACCAAAATTAGAAAAACTGACAGATTCTGAGGTATTGTTTGATAAATTTCAAAATTAACAATGCATTCAGATGTGAACTTAAGTCAACCTAAAATGGTACATTCTTAATTAGAGATGCAGACTCTCCAATAATTCTTCAACTAGAGATAGAAAAAATGCGCATTAATGTGCATTTATCTTCAACACTATTTCCTAGATTTCCTAAACCCGCAGCTACATAGCTTACTAGTAATTAGGAAATAGTCTGAAATAATTGAATAGCCCCTTTGAATTATAACGATATTAACTTTAAATGCTTAATATGTCTGCATTTCTAATCAATAAAGTGATAAGTTCCTTCGCAATTATAAATAATAACCTTAATTTTAAAATCTCTTATTTATACATAGTTTAATATATTCTAATAATCCACTTCATCATTCAAAAAAGATTTTCATATGTGACTTATTCATTGATCTTAATGAATTTTTCGCAAACGACAAAACTAAAACTAAAGCTCGGATTTTCCGAATTTACGGCGACATAATTCGGCTTTCGAATAATCTAAAAATTCCATCTTCTGCCGAAAATGGTGTTATGTTAATAGTAGCAAGACGTTTTGAAATTGAAAAAGAATACCATATATCAGTTGATTACAAAAATTATTTTAGAATTGTGGTATATGCTATGGAAATGCCATTTGAACTTAAAATTATTTTAAAAAATCAAACAATCACATTTAAAATTACCGATTCAAACATTGGTAAATGTCTAACTTTGTATGGAAGTGAACAAAAATTTGTGGATATAGATATTTTTGACAATGTTATTCTTAAAAGAGATCCATTTTTTAAAATACTACGCTTCTCTTTACAAATTGCGACTGCCTTATTCTATGATGAAGCAAAAACTGAAATCATTGAATCAATTCTATCTTGGATTATTAAGATAACAAAATCACAATCTGAACCATACTCTGAACTATATCATCAAGCATTATCGATACTTACTCAACTTAATATTTCGAAAAAAAGAAGGGAAAGTAAATTTTCTTTTATTCCATTACTCAATAAGGAAATTTACAAGGAGCGTATTGAAAATTTTATAAATTTTGCAATATCCTATGAAGATAAATATAATAATGTTCTAGATGGAAAGTATACAAATGATTTGAAGAAAACTGAGTTCGAAACATTATTAAAAGATTGTAATGATATGACTAGAGTACATGAACATTTAAAAGGAATAGAGGAAGCACGTTATAAATCATCACTTAAACTGAGGATAAATGAAGAAATCGAATTAAAGGCATGTTAATGATATATTTATTAAAACTGACTTTGTTAAATCAGATAATTCATATGATTATACCAAAAGATAAATAAACTTATTAAAATGCTTTTAATTACAGAATAAAATAGATGAAGTGAAGGAAACATCAGAGAGTTTTAAGAATGGAATTGAAGAATGGAAGAAACTGCAAGAGATTGAAGCAAGAACAAATATGGTAGCTGCTATTTTTGATTTGGCTGTAGGTGTTGGTAAAATTGTTGTACAACCTGGTGGTATAGTTGGTTTTATTGAAACTATAGAAAAGACTTCTAGCTCAATTAATGACGCTTTGAATGCAGCTGATGCTGTAAAAGGTGTTATAGACATAATTGATATGAAGAATAATGAGTATGTAAAGCAATTGAAGGATGTAAATAATAATATCCAGAAAATTGAGGATATTAAGAATGAACTAAAAAGCCATTTTATAAAGGCTGACAATCTAACTAGTGAAGTGGAGAAAGAACAAGAAAGCATTCAAACTCTGAATATTAGTAAACTTGCAGCGATGTATGTCATTTCTTATATACAATTACTAAATCAAAGAATTTTTAACAATTGGATAATTTGACAGGCTTGAAACAGAAGATCGAAAAGGAATCCATTTGAAGGCTAAATGGAACTCAATTAAGAATGATATGAGACAATTACTTAAATATGTAAATATATTTTTATTCAGTTATGCATTAATTTTTAACCAAAAGCTGATCTTACTCATTTACTAGCCTGTCGACAAAGGTATAAGTGGTGCAAATGATTATTTAAATTCATTAGAAAATCTATTTATATACATTGATGTGTATATTGAAGCAAAGATTGAAGAAACAGAAAGCTTTAAAGAGTATTCACGAATTAAACTGCAAGTAGATGCATTTGAACAAAAGGAACAACGCCTTAAGGAATTAATTAAAAATTATGAAGCAAGAGAAGATTATTATAACGAAATCGCTCTCATGCTATTTGAGCGCCTTATTAATACTAAATTTTGGATGTCAACATATATGGAAAACTATCTTTATGCCACTTATTATTGGTCACTTTCTAAATCTAATGTTAAACTATCAGTGATAAAAAATATTGAACAACATAAAAAAGATTACCATACAATTTATGATGAATTAGAAAGCACTTACATTAAATTTCGAGGATCAGCACATCCTTCAAAGCATATCATTCACCTTGATGGAGAATATATTAAAAAATTTAAGAATGATAGATTTGTTACATTCGAGATTTCATTGAACCATGAAAAATTATTGACAACCCAGCATGTACGACTTCATGAAATTAAAGTATTCCTGAATAAAGCTGGAAATGATGACAATGAAATATTTCTTTATATTAGTAACACAGGTGAATTCGCTGATAAATTTGAAAATGATGTGTATTATTTTAAATCTGAACCTACAAGAAATAAGGTGTTTAGATATAACGTTTCAGGTGAAATATTAACACACGCATTATTTGATGATTCAGATGTCTATTTTGTTCCAACACCATTTAGTCGATGGACACTCAGACTCAAAAAAAATTGTAAACCTGACTTATCTGAGTTGGAGTCAATCAAAATTGAATTAGATGTAAAATGTTATTTTAAAGATGACTAGTAAGAATGTGTCACCTTGCTGATGACTAAATTTAGTTGAAAAATATATTTATGTAGTTTTGTTATGTGATTTTTATGAGCTTCACTTTTGATGCATTTATATATAATTATTACAAGTTAATAAAAATTTTAGTTTTAGATTTTAATATTTTGAGTGTTTTAAGTAAAATTATGAAAAAAAAATTAATATTTATATTTGAAAAGTCAAGTAGATTGAGACATGGTTTTAATTCATATAGGCAAGAATATAAAAGATTTTAGAATAAAATTTTAGAAATTATAATATGTCTGTCAAAAAGTGACAGGATTAAATAAATTTTTTGCTTGCTATAAACTAACAAAACACAAAAAATGTGCTTTTTTTATTTGCAGAGAAAAATTTTGGCATAAGTAATTAGATGCTTGAGATGTTCAAAAAAGAATTACATATAAGATTAAGTAGTCATATCTAGTGATGAAAAAAATGCACATATTATAATAACATGCACATGATATCGCATAATAAAAAATGATAAAAAATAAAAAAATGATCGAGAGGAAAAAAATTTTGATGGGATAAAATGTGCATGAAGTGGAATTATGCGCATGCATAAAACCCATCTCTAGTCATATCCAACATTCTATTTCAAGTATCACTTGTTAATAAATTTGTTATTATTTTGATTAAGTATTTTCTTCCAATTGGATTAAAATTATTGTCATTATATTATAATAATAAAGAATACTATTTTTATTCCACCTTAGCAAATGACTTATTAGATTTTAATTAGCTAGTATCAGAAAGGAACTGAACAGATTTATCTTTTATTTTTACTAGTACAAAAAAAAACTAACATATAACTGTAATTAATAATTGATCAAGCTTGAAGTTTAAAATTTTTATTTTTATTAGATAGATATAAATAAATAATTATATAGTCTATTTCTCCAAAAATTACTAGTTGTTAAAAATAAATACAAATAATAATATGTTTGAATTTCAAAAAAATTATGTAAGTTAAGCATAAGAGAAGTATTAAGTTTTAGATTATTTAGTTTAGATTATTAAAAGTTGATTATTAGATTAATATTAATATTTTGGGCTTAGGTATAGTGGAATGAATTTAAACAAACATATATATTTTTAAGAATTACAGTATGATTTCTTTATTTAACATTACACTTGCAACTAATTAATGCTAATTCTAATACTATATGATATTAAATTTGATCTGTTAAAAAAATAATATTTAGAAAATTGCATAACAATTATTTTTAAATATAGTGCTAATATTTAATATTTTAGAAATAAAAAAAATAATCACTATACTAATATCCAAAATATTGTCAACTTTTATAAATTATTAGAAAAAAGATTATAAAAACAAATATATTTTATTATAAATTGAAGCAATTATTTAATAACTTTTATAAATTAGCAGTTACAAGTATCTTTCAATTAAAATAAATATTTTATCTTTAAGCTTAAAGATTATATTTTTTACTTAAGTATTATTTTGATATTTCTATTAAAAGATTTTATTAACTGCATATATTTAAGGTATAGTAACTTAGTAAAGTAAACAAGTTGTCATTCTTTTAAGTAGCAGATTGGAATTTTAAAACTTATTAGTAGCAAAAATTTAGATTTTTATTTATATTATAATAATTATTTTTAATAATTAAGTTAAAATACTTTTAATAATTATTATATTTGTATAATTAGCAGATTATAGAGTATTTAGTAATGAGTTATATATAGAAATACAAACTAGCATCAAATAGTACAAATACAAATAAGTTTTTGCAACTATATAAATTTATAAAAATTGGAAAACAAAAAGCATATTTAGAAAGATTTAAGTAAAAAGATAATACAATTAATATAAAGAAGTTAGATAAATAAGAACCTTTACAAAATCTATATTATAATCAACTCTCCCCGACGATCACTTAAACCAAACTAGCACCAAAACAGTTTGAAAAGTTATGTTTTTAAGTAGATAATATCTTTAATTCTGTTTTAATATACAAAGCAGATTGTTGCTAACGAACTAGAAGTATATGAAAAACCGAGGTGCGGGCAACTCTTCTGGTGGTTTGTGTCAAGGTCAAACCTTTTTGCAGGTGGACTCCTTAATACGTTTAGTATCCAAACCAGAAGGATATTCTGGAAACAATAGAGAAAAACTCTGGTTAAAGGTTATTAAAAGCTTGAAAACAGAACAAACAGCTGGAAACACTTTCTTTAGTCTGGCTTTTCGCATATCATACTTGTCGACCTCTTTCATCTACTTCGTTTTTCACTCAAAAGTGGAGAATTTGGCTCCCCCTCTACAAAAGATCGGCATTGTTTATCATTTCCTTTTTCGGACAGTTACGTGTTGTGACATGATGTAATAGGAACACAACAATCACGTGTACAGCCTAACATATGATGTAATGAAGAAACGAAGAAGGATTTAAGTTGGAGGATTATAGCAAATTAGAGATATATATTAATTCCTAA